AGCCAGTTTCTTGACAACCCGAACTCCTTAACTTCTTCCTTGCATGTGGCATCTAGGTTATGTGACGAAGAATGTTCTATTCTGGTTTTACAATCTATGTATAAATTCAAATAATCAGAATGCCATTCCACTCCAGTAACAAACTTATGATGAATTGCCTTGATTACGCATGTGTAGCACCGAGCTAAAAGCGAGGTGCTTCATACAGAAGATAGAGTTGAGAAAGCTCGGTGATGCTGCTGGGAATGGTGCCCGTCACTCTATTGTTTGCAAGAGACCTGTGTGAGCGTGATATGGGTTGGGACAAACGTGACAAGATGAGAATAGTGGGCGTGGTATGGGTTGGAGCGTGGGTTGGAGCATGGCATGGATTGGGTTGTGAAAGCTAAATATTTTTAGTGCCATTCTACTTCAACAATAAGGTTAAGATGAACTGCCTTGATCTTGCATGTGTAGCACCAGACTGAAACGAGGTACTTCGTACAAATCTACGAGCCGAGAAAGCTCGGAGATGCTGTTGGGAATGGAGCCCGTCAAATTGTTGTTTGCAAGATTCCTGTGTGTGTATGGTATAGATGGGGGCGGAATAAGTGATCAGATGAGGACGAGGTGCTAGTGCCGATCGATCGCCATATGAACCTTCCAGAAACGTTTAAAACCCAGGAAATATACGATCCTGAGAAAATCGAGGTTCGGCCCGGTGAAGAACCGGAACAATTCACCCAGGGCCGAACCAAGTTCGGAAGACGCTCACGCCTAGATTCAGGGATGAGTAAAAACCGAATTGCACTTGACTCATGCAAACGGGTTCATGCTTGGCTCTAATTGCTAGAAACGGTTCGAGTCGCAAACCCAGTTTGACGAATTTGTGGTTCTCTGGACTGGGAGGAGGAGGGTCAGGAAGAGGAGTTGCAGGATATACAGCCTGAAATGGGTGCCAATGGCATGGCCATATACGTATAGACTACCCAAAACTCCTCGTTTTCTTGCTTGCTTGTGCCATCAAAGGATTTGCTCTGGCGGGTTACAGCGTTAATGTGATCTTTGATCATGCATGATTAGCATCAAGCTTGAACGAGGTCGCTTCATACAGATATGTGAGCCCAGAAAGACCGTTAATTCCATTGGAAATGGAGTCCGTCAAAGTGTTGTATGAAAGAGACCTGTGTGTGCATGGTACAGGTTGGGGCGGAATAGGCGAGGAGATGAGAATCGAAGGCATGGACTGAAAGATGGCAAGCACACACAGTCGTCTCAATTGGGGGATGAGATGAGCATGGTAAGAGGTAGCATGAGCAAGAAGATTCAAACTATACCCTACCTAATCCCTACCTCAAAGATTTAGGGTAGACCAATGTCATCTTTGATTTAGGTGTTAGGCTAGGGTTTCTTGCCCTCCCGAAGAAATCCGCATTCCATCCTTAGACAGATGGACGGACACGTCTGCCTCCCATCCTATGATCCTACGTTGCATGCATAGGCAAACATGAGTGTAGAATCCACCAATCAGAGTGAAGCACGGGAAAAGGGTGGTGTTTTGGGAGGAGCGAAGTCAGTTTAGCCCCCTAATTTCGACCAATCGGAGCATGGCAAGGAGAAAATGGTGGTGCTCTGGGTAGGAGGACCAAATTCAATTCAGCGCACTGATTTTGACCAACGGGAGTTGATGGAGCACTTCAAGCAGTTTGATCTCAAATATTTGGATCAATCGGAGTGAGCCTCACTTGCTCACGGAGCGGGCTCACAGCTGTTCACGCCACCACCTGTTGAAGTTTTTGATTGGTTCGTCAGCGAAGTGACATGGATATATATATCTACCAAGTCAATAATTCTCGCGATACTTTGACATGGTATAGAGCTAGCCCGAACCTAGGAGATATTCTGCCGGGGGTTCTGTCGTCTAGCGCGCGACCCCGCAGGCCCCGTTTCGTCGCCCGTTAGAGGCCTCGCCGTGGGCCCATTTTGTCGTCGAAGAGACGCCCACTCCTGCTATTGCCGCTACTTCCCCTGCTTCAGACGCTGCCGCCCCTGTTACTGCGTACAGTGGATACCGCCCCTGTCACTGCTACTACAGTCGCTACCGCCCCTGTTACAGCCGCTGCCGCCCCTGTTACTACCGCTACCGCCCCTGCTACAGCCGCCGCCGGCCCTGTTCCTGCCACTACAGGGGCTACCGCCCCTGCTACACCCACTCCACTACCGTCCCTTTTACTGCCGCTACAACCGCTACCGCTTCTGCCACAGCCGCTGCCGGCCCGGCTATTGTCACTGCCGCCCCTGTTACTGCTGTTAATGTTAGCCCTCAATCTCACATTTTGTACTTGTACTTTTATATCCTAGTTTAGTGTAGTTTGCACTTTGTGTTTGGTTGGGTGTACACCCACATCCACATCCCAACCAAACCCAAATGTAATCTCCAAGCAATCTCCAACCCACCAATTGGAGATTGCCTTGGGATTACCCCCAATCCCTAGAGATTGCCTCCAATTCCCTCCCCATCCTGGTTGTACTTTAAGAGCCTCACACTCATTAATAATGCATGGATTATAAGCTCTAGTTCTGACAGCTGCCACCGGTGCTGCTGCTGCCACTGCTGCCGCCAGAGCCGCCGCTGCCGTCCCTTTTGCAGCCGCCCGGTGAGCCGCCACTGCCACTTCTGCTCTAGCAACCACTGCAATCACTACAATGCCGCCGCCGCCAAGGCTGCCGTCGCTGCAGCTAGTGCTGCCGCCCACAGCTGCCATAGCCTACGGCCGACACTGCAGCAGCAACAGTAACAGCAGTCGCCGCCTTAGGCCCCACTGCAGCAGCTATATCAGCATTGGCCGCTGCCCTCCCCCCCCTCCCCCCCTCCCCCCTCACTGCAGCCGCCACCCTAAGCCACCACTCATGCCCCACCTGCACTCACTACTGCTAGTGCTCTAGACCTTCCCACTCTCCTATATGGCTCCCACTACTGCTCCTGAGTTCGGGCTGCGCTTCGACGCTGAGGGTCGAGTGATCGACCTTGATGTGTGGCTGGAGGATTTCAAGTTGTACCTCCAAGTCAGCGCCAGGATAATCAGAGGGCGACTTGTGCTGCAGACATGAACAAGCACTCGATTTGGGTCTCTCGTGATGCAGTTGCGCGTCTAGCCCTTAGCAGTCTCCCCCCCCTCCGAGCGTGTGCACTTTTGCGGTATTAAGATGGCCAAAGACTATCTCGACGCTATCGTTACCCGCTACTCCACTCCCTCGTCTGCTATCCTAGGCCATCTGATCATTCCGTTCCTCTTTCCTGACCTGCCCTCGTTTCACACTGTTGTCGATTTCATGACCCACCTTCGCACGCTCAACACTCGCTTCACTGACGCTTGCTCTGCTAAGCAGCGCGTGAAGTTTCCTCCCCCTATCTATCTCACTCTTCACCTCCTCGCGACTCCCCTCCCAATCTGAATTGCTACGGCGCGCGACGCCCTTCTCTCTATGCAGCCCATTAAACAGACTATCGAGCTTTTTTAGACTAGTCTCACAAAGATCTTTGTGAGTCCCTTGTGGTCCCTTGTGGTAATTGATCCACATACGCTCTGTCACTCAGACTACGGGGGACTCGGTACCCCCTGTCTTTGAGGAGTGTGGCCCCCTGCAGTTTCCTCTCTCTGCTGGCTCCGCTTCTGTTGAGAAGCCCGCTAGCACTAAGGTAGCAGCTGCTGAAGCTGCGTCTCGCGGCAGCGGTACGCGAAGCAGGAGTGGCAGGAGTGGCAGGAGTAGCAGTCGGTGCAGCAGCAGGCCTCTCAGCAGTCCTGCGAGTTGGGCGTCGGACAGCGGTGACGTCGGCCCGTGGTACCGTCTTCAGACTGGCCTGGGCGTTGATCAGATCAGCGAGCGCCAGGATCACTCCGCGGCACGCTGCTTTCGCCGCCTCGATGACCTTTACCGCCTGCATTACGGCGTTTAAGATTCTACCCGACAGGTATTCACTTATGAAAGTGGTGTGTCTATCTTTACTATGAATATGATTTATGTGAATCTTAGTCTTGTTGTTGAATTTAGGGATGAGCATTAGGCCCGGCCCGACCCGACCCGACTTGGCCAGGCCAGCCGGGTTCCTGGGTCGGGTCAGGTCGGGCCGGACTCGGGCCAAGCTGGTGGAAGGCTTGATCCGACCCGGGTTTGCACAGTCGGGTCAGCACTGACCCGACCCCGGGTCGGGTCGGGTCGGGCCAGGGTGACCCGCCCCTATAAAGGGGGCAGGGGTGTATATTAGCTGTAGTGAAAAGTGTATGGTTTGGGTGTTAAAATCTGCACCTGTGCTTGCGGCCTCCCCTTCACTCTGCTCACGGCCGCCCTTATGCAATGCAAAATGGCGCTATGGTGGGTGCTGGGCAAGCCTATGAACAGTCGCGGGCCTAATACGTGGCGTGCACCCTGTGAAGTGATATCGCCCTATGAAAACGCGAAATTTTACACTACACTATCCAGCAGCGCAATCAAAATAATGTGCAGGAAAACTCTGGAAATGTAGCTAGAAAAAATAAGATCATGTGATTTCATGGGCTGTAAATTAAGTAGTTAGGCTTTTTACGAGACATTGGCGCTGAACTAAGGCAACTAGGAGCGTGTGTGAGCAACTTGGAGGCATTTTTTTGACATGTTTTTTTCCGGACTGCCCGACCAAGCGTATAACGTATACCGAAGCGTATCAAGTTTTTCCGTATATAGGTACAAGACCATATGGATAAGCCATCCTGTATGCCCGATTAAAAAAAAAAAAAGGAGGAAGATGAAAGATGTGCACATCACATGCAAGATGAAGAACAATTTGCGGACGGAGCGGAGGGAGAAAGATGGGGGGAGAGCAAGATGAATCTAGAGCAGGTGCCCAATAGCTTCAACGAGTTTACTCCAACCCTATAAGTGGGTAGAAGCAATCATCGCAACAGGGGTTACAGACAATATGCACGGGGGGCTAAGACTTCTAGCTGATGATTTGAAACCCCTACACAGTCCACTCCAGGGTATCAACACTCGTTCTGCGTAATTGAAACCAGACTATAACGAGGTGCTTCATACAGATAAGTGAGCTGACGAAGAGAGAATATGTCACTGGGAATGGAGCCCGTCAGGCTATTGTGAGAAAGAGACCTGTATGCGCGTGAGATGGTTTGGGGATGCATAAGTGAGGAAATGACATTAGAGGGCATGGAGTGAGCGACAGCAAGCACACACGGGCGATTCAATTGGGAGGTGACACAAGCATGCTGGGAGACAGACATGAATAAATCCGAATTCCAGTTCGATTCATGCCTGTACCAGTTTACATTGCACACCCAGTTCAATAAAGTTTTCATTGAACCAAGGCTGGGAGGGGGAGGGCCAGGAAGAGGAATGGCCATATGCTTTTTAATCACCCGAAACCCCTTGTTTTCTTGCTAGCCTGTGATCTTTGACCATGCACGCTTGGCACCAGGCTCAGACAAAGAGTTTCATACATAAATGAGAGCTGAGAAAGAAATTGAATGTCACTAGGAATGGATCCCATCATATTGTTGTTTGAAAGATCTCTGTGCGTGCATGGGATGAGATGAGGAGGGATACCGAGGAGATGAGATTAGAGGGCATGGAGCGGGCGACAGCAAGCACACACGGGCGATTCATTTGGGAGGTGACACGACCATGCTGGGAGACAAACATGAGTTAAATTAATCCAATTTGCTGGCGACCTGGTTCCAAGGTAAAAAAAAACAGTCGAATTTTTTTTTAGCTGCTTTAAATTACGATATCGTATAGTGGGCCCCTGCGAGAAATCGTAGAGCAATTTCGAAAATACGATCGCATTTTTTAACCTTGCCAGGTTCGACCAAACCATATGGCTGGTCATAAGTCTTTCTGTATGCCCTTTAAATAAAATAAGGAGCAGCACCTGCAAGACAAAAACAACCTATGGAAGATAAATTTTAGTGCAGACGAAGAAGAGGGAGAATGAGGGGGGAGCAAGATGGTCCTAGAGCAGTTGGTCAATAGCTTCAACGAGTTTATTCCAACCCTATAACTGGGTAGAAGAAATCATCGCACCAGGGGTTACAGACAATATGCATGGGGGGCTAAGACTTCTAGCTGATGAGTTGAAACCCCTACACAGTCCACTCCATTGTATTAACACTCATTCTGCGTAATTGATACCAGACTATAACGAGGTGCTTCATACAGAAAAGCGAGCTGAGGAAGCATGAATATGTCGCTGGGAATGGAGCCCGTCAGCCTGTTATTAGAAAGATACCTGTATGTGTATGATATGGTTTGGGGATGCAGAAGTGAGGAGATGTGATTAGAGGGCATGGAGTGAGCGACACCAAGCACACACGGGGCATTCAATTGGGAGGTGACACGAGCATGCTGGGAGACAAACATGAGTTTAAGCGAATTGGAGATTGGTTCATGCTTGAACAAGTTTGAGTCGCACACCCAGTTCGACAAAGTTTTCGTTGAACCAAGGCTGGGGGGGGATGGCTGGGAAGAGGAGTGGCCATATGCGTTTTAATCACCCGAAACCCCTTGTTTTCTTGCTAGCCTGTGATCTTTGACCACGCACGCTTGGCACCAGGCTCAGACAAAGAGTTTCATACATAATTGAGAGCTGAGAAAGAAATTGAATGTCACTGGGAATGGATCCCGTCAATAAGTTGTTTGAAAGATCCCTGTCCATGCGTGGGATGAGATGGGGAGGAATAAGTGAGGAGATGAGATTAGTGGGCACGCAGTCAGTTTGACGAATGTTTGGTTTTCGTCAAACCTGGGCCTGGGCCCTGGGCTGGCGGGAGGGGGGGGGAGGAGAGAGCCAGGAAGAGGAGTTGCGGGATATTCAGCCTAGCTTGGCTGCCAATTGCGTGGCCATATACGTTCTGATTACTCGAAACTCCTTGCGTTCTTGCTTGTGTGCGGCATCTGAAATATGTGACGAAGGATATTCTCTCAAGGGCTTTGAAATTCATTCATGTGATCTTTGATCACGTCCGTTCTTATCACCAGCCCAAACGGTGTGCTTCATACAGAATATTGAGATGCACGAGGTCAGAGATGCTGTTGGGAATGGAGCCCGTCAAATTCATGGTTGGCAGAGACCTGTGAGTGCGAGGGGGGGGGGGGGGGGGGAGAGTGGGGAGGGGGGCGGGGATTGAGGCGATTGAAGTGAGGAGATGAGAACAGTGGGCATGGACCGAGGGACAGCACAGAAAGCAACATAAGCAACCCAAGAGGATGTTTGTACGAGCATGGTAGGACGCTGTGAGCAGCACTAAGAAGAGAACAAGGCAAGAGAAGTGCGAGAATATAAGGGGAAAACGAAGGGTGAGGACAGATAAGGAGGATTGGATTTTTTTTTTACCAAATAAATGGTGCAAATTTCACCAATGAGCACAAAAATCCATCAACACAATCCTGCAGGACACTAGCAGCTTGTGTGGAATCCAATCAATCCCAGAGGGAACATAATCACACTTACATCCAAGTAATCATGCCTGAATCATCACACGTGAGTCCTTGCACGAGGGAACAGTCAGCACCCACGACCCAGCCTTGGGCCGCCTTTCCCCATGCCTTCTGGCAGTCCTTGAGAAACACATCTGACAGTTGAGAACAGGAGGGGAGAGAGAGACAGAGGCACACAGACGAGGAAAGTTCCAAATCTAACATTGAAGACCAGCGAAACCAGAACGGAAAGTCCCCAGATCTACAACACCATCCTGAGGCGCCATGCTGCCCAAGCCCGATTTGGGAGGGGAGCTTCATTTAGGGCCGCGCATAGCAGCCCAGCCAGAAGCAGGGCTCACTCACCTGCTGGCCCAGTCAGAAGCAAGCAGGGCTCAGCTCACTCACCTGCTGGCCTGGATCACCGCAACCACGGCCCGACAGAGAACATGTCCCTTTCTCATGTCCCCACTCATGTCAACACTGCAGCTGGCACACACCACGGGCACCCTTGCCAGAGCCACCACTGTGGTGAAATGAGGCAGCTCGGCGAAGGCACTACAGGCCCTAGAATCCACCCAACCAACGAAGCCACTCTAGAGCTTCCAACTATGCGCCACCCAAGTGCTGCGTCCTTAATTCGAGTCACCCCGATGCTGTGTCCGAACTCGCCTCTTGGCTTGACACCTTCCGCATCAGCATGCCCCTAGGCATTTCGCCGTTCACCTACTCACTTCACCACCCCGACGTGGGCGAGCACCTACTCACTTCACCACCCCGACGTGGGCGAGCACCTACTCACTTAACCACCCCGACGTGGGCGAGCACCTACTCGCTTCACCACCCCGACGTGGGCGAGCACCTACTCGCTTCACCACCCCGACGTGGCCGAGCAAATACTCACTTCACCACCACGACGTGGGCGAGCACCTACTCGCTTCACCACCCCGACGTGGCGAGCACCTACTTGCTTCACCACCCCGACGTGGGCGAGCACCTACTCACTTCACCACCCTGACGTGGGCGAGCACCTACTCGCTTCACCACCCCGACGTGGGCGAGCACCTACTCGCTTCACCACCCCGACGTGGGCGAGCACCTATTCGCTTCACCACCCCGACGTGGCGAGCACCTACTCGCTTCACCACCCCGACGTGGCGAGCACCTACTCGCTTCACCACCCCGACGTGGGCGAGCACCTATTCGATTCACCACCCCGACGTGGGCGAGCACCTACTCGCTTCACCACCCCGACGTGGGCGAGCACCTACTCGCTTCACCACCCCGACGTGGCGAGCACCTACTCGCTTCACCACCCCGACGTGGCGAGCACCTACTCGCTTCACCACCCCGACGTGGGCGAGCACCTATTCGATTCACCACCCCGACGTGGGCGAGCACCTACTCGCTTCACCACCCCGACGTGGGCGAGCACCTACTCGCTTCACCACCCCGACGTGGCGAGCACCTACTCGCTTCACCACCCCGACGTGGCGAGCACCTACTCGCTTCACCACCCCGACGTGGGCGAGCACCTACTCGCTTCACCACCCCGACGTGGGCGAGCACCTACTCGCTTCACCACCCCGACGTGGGCGAGCACCTTCTCGCTTCACCACCCCGACGTGGGCGAGCACCTACTCGCTTCACCACCCTGACGTGGGCGAGCACCTACTCGATTCACCACCCCGACGTGGGCGAGCACCTACTCGCTTCACCACCCCGACGTGGGCGAGCACCTACTCGCTTCACCACCCCGACGTGGGCGAGCACCTATTCGCTTCACCACCCCGACGTGGCGAGCACCTACTCGCTTCACCACCCCGACGTGGCGAGCACCTACTCGCTTCACCACCCCGACGTGGCGAGCACCTACTCGCTTCACCACCCCGACGTGGGCGAGCACCTACTCACTTCACCACCCCGACGTGGGCGAGCACCTACTCGCTTCACCACCCCGACGTGGGCGAGCACCTTCTCGCTTCACCACCCCGACGTGGGCGAGCACCTACTCGCTTCACCACCCCGACGTGGGCGAGCACCTATTCGCTTCACCACCCCAACGTGGCGAGCACCTAATCGCTTCACCACCCCGACGTGGCGAGCACCTACTCGCTTCACCACCCCAACGTGGGCGAGCACCTACTCGCTTCACCACCCCGACGTGGGCGAGCACCTATTCGCTTCACCACCCCGACGGGGCGAGCACCTATTCGCTTCACCACCCCGACGTGGGCGAGCACCTACTCGCTTCACCACCCCGACGTGGGCGAGCACCTATTCGCTTCACCACCCCGACGTGGCGAGCACCTACTCGCTTCACCACCCCGACGTGGCGAGCACCTACTCGCTTCACCACCCCGACGTGGGCGAGCACCTACTCGCTTCACCATCCCGACGTAGGCGAGCACCTACTCGCTTCACCACCCCGACGTGGGCGAGCACCTTCTCGCTTCACCACCCCGACGTGGGCGAGCACCTACTCGCTTCACCACCCTGACGTGGGCGAGCACCTACTCGATTCACCACCCCGACGTGGGCGAGCACCTACTCGCTTCACCACCCCGACGTGGGCGAGCACCTACTCGCTTCACCACCCCGACGTGGGCGAGCACCTATTCGCTTCACCACCCCGACGTGGCGAGCACCTACTCGCTTCACCACCCCGACGTGGCGAGCACCTACTCGCTTCACCACCCCGACGTGGCGAGCACCTACTCGCTTCACCACCCCGACGTGGGCGAGCACCTACTCACTTCACCACCCCGACGTGGGCGAGCACCTACTCGCTTCACCACCCCGACGTGGGCGAGCACCTTCTCGCTTCACCACCCCGACGTGGACGAGCACCTACTCGCTTCACCACCCCGACGTGGGCGAGCACCTATTCGCTTCACCACCCCAACGTGGCGAGCACCTAATCGCTTCA